TTATTGAGTACACAATAGTTGTAATTCTGAAATAATTTAAGTTACACAATTCTAATTAATTACAAGTGTGTAGGGATAATTTAGAAATGTTATATAATGCTAGTTTTAGAAAAATAGATAAATCGAGTTTGTATGGTTCAATTTTATTTTAAGGTCCTATAGCATTATGCACTTGCCAGTATTTGAGTGGAAATCTGGGCTCTTATATTAGGCTGTATATTGTTCGTTCACAGAGAGAATTGAATGGATTGCTCTTGCTGTGGCAGTGAGTGTGGTAGGATCTAGAGTTTTGTTGGAGAGCAAACCGACTAGGTCAGTAATGTTTTGGGGATGGAAATTGAATTTTTCCCTAACTGAGGAGTAGAGCAAACAGTCAATCAATACGTGACTTTCGTCCTCAATAGGCTTGAGCCCTTTGCTGAAAAAGCAGTAGGTGCACCAACGTTCTTCTCTTGGTACAAGGGGGGTTTCGTATCTGCCCCTTTCGATGTAGAGGTTGTGGCAGCTGATACGAAACCTTGTCAGACTTTTTCGAACATCAGGTATTTTGATAATTCGTAGATATGCCTCCGGTTCAAAATCATGTTTAATTAAGTTATAGAATTCTAGTTTTGGCGAGGAGGCCTTGGCAGCTTTCCAGGTAGTTACCAATTCTTCCCTCATGTTATGACTGATTTGAGAAAAGACAATTTTTTGAGAAAAGACAATTTTATTATTTATCACCAATTCAATACATAATCAATAAATATATATCCGAATAAATTTGATTTAAAATTAAATGAAACAAGTATGCTAGCAGCTAGCGCGCTTGTATTTAATAAATATTCACGCTGTTAAAAATGGGTCTTACCACACCGCCACTCACATTAGCACAGTTGGTGAACGGACCCAGGCGCTGTTAAGCTTTTATGAGCCCTGGTTGACTGCTGAGAGTGGCGACGGGTCTGACATTAATTTTATTTTAGTTTTCCCTATATTCCAATAAAATTTTAGTTTTGAGTTAAATGATTTTTATGCGATATTTAAGTTGAAGCTGCTTGCAATACATTATTGCTTGAAAATTGTTTAAATATGCTCGCTATACGCTTAATTTTTAGATACCGTATGTATATGCACACATCAGCTCATAATACTAAATAACAATAATAAATAAATTAAAAGCATGAAGAGGTCCAAAACCAGTTCAAGCATGCGACGCCAGAATGAATACATTGACATCGGAAGCTGCAAGCTTATTAATAACGTTTGATTCCACGTTGATCCGTTATTATGAAGTCACCTTCAGGCGGTGTCGACGGATCATGCGAAAAGGGTTTTTGACAGGCTGTGCCCTTACCAAAATTAAACTGAACCATTGCCTGGTACGATGTAAACATGAGTGGTGGATAAGAGAGCCGCGCAAGCGCTCGCGCGAGCATTTGTGTTGCTCTGACAAATAGCGCTTGAATAATTTAGCTACCAAGACGTAAATCGCGCGTTACGTAAAGTATCATTTTTCCCTTCGGATAAAGCGAACGGTACACCCGCGTGTAACCTTCTTCAATGGGTTGTGTGCGTGCTTGGTGGAGTGAGTGTATAATGTAATGATTGAATGAATCTTTTTATTTTGTGGTGTATATATGATGTGAGTGACAGGTGTAAAATGTAAAAGATATAAATATAAATGGGGGTCTTTTCATAGGAAAGTGTTGAAGTTTAAGTCCTGCCAGTTAATATTGTCAGGTTGGTGTTGAGCCTTCATGATAGAATACTTCAATTGGGATTTAATTGAGCCTAGTGAACCTATTTTACCACGTGCATTTGACTGTTCAAGAAACGTATTCCATAGATTTGCCCCTTTATATGCGAAATTGTGAGATGAGTGTGGTGTCACAAATCTGTCATCTCTGAGCTGAGACTTCTTAAATAGAGAATACATGGATATGGGCTGATGACTCTTCACTATCTTCATTGTTTCAGTAATGCATCTGTATCTATATATGTTATGTACTGTCATTAGTTCCTTAGATTGGAAAATCGGTTTTGTTGATTCTCTAGAGTGGAATTCTGCCCCAAGTATTTGGCAGCGATGTGGCCTTACTTGTCTATCACCAGTCTTCCTCAAGCTGATACATATAGAACACGGTTTAATGTGAGGTATAGTTGATTCATTGGATATTTGACCTTTCTTGTTTATACTGCACTGGATTGGCCTGCTACGAGAACAAGTTTTAAACTTGTCGCTAAATGCTTCCGAGTCCCCAAATAAGATTCGGACACATTTCTTCTGTGCAAGGAATAGCGGTGAAAGCTTATTAATTGATACACCACCCCATACAGTTATACCGTATCCTTGGAGAGCTTAGATTTTGAGGAAGATGAGGGGGTGAAGTTGTATTTGGTGAGAAGCTTTGAGATGTTGGTATACCAAGGAAGTCCCAACATGATTTGTTCGTGAAATGTAGCACAGAGTAGTTCGTTTTCAGTGTTTTCAAGGCGACTATAGTTATCTATTGCAAGTTTGCAGGCTTCAAAGAATAGGGGGTGGCGACCGCTTTCGCCCCAGCAACCTATATTTGATGCTTTTGAATGGACAGACAAAGACCACTTGATAAACTTTAGGTGGAATTTTTCATAGTGGTCTTGTGCAATGTACTTCAAGGTATGCTGGGGGTTGGCTTTGTCATCTATTTTTGAAAGGTATTTCATGGTTTTTGAGTGAGGGCATAAGACTTGACAGCCATAAAGCAGGATCGGTTTTATTAAGGAGTCAAATAGAATATTAAGGGCACGGTGAGAGAGGGCATCCTTAACTATTTTGCCTTTGAGGCCATAGAGAGCACGGAGAGCCTTGGCCCTCAGCCCTATTTGCTGCTGTAAACAATCCATTTCTGTGGAATATTATGCCAAGATAGCAGTATTTATCGGTGTGCTGGATGGGCTGACCTCCCAATGTGAATGTTTCATAGGACTGCTTTCGTTTGGGAGGGCTGAATATTACAATCTTGGTTTTCTTAATATTTACTTCAAGGCCCATGGAGTTACAGAAATCAAATAGAATGTTGATATTGACTTGCAAGGCCTTGGGAGTTAGAGCAAGAAGGACAAGATCGTCAGCCCACAGCAGATGTGATATCAGAACGTCAGCAAGAACTGGATAGTCACCAACAGATTTCAGGAGAGATGAGCAAAGAAAAGTTGAGTTTTTGACGATGTCCAGCAATGGCTGAACCTTCCTGATTCAGTTTAATGATTTTGCAGCCATTGATTAGGAGTTTTGAATTATTTTGGCCTGGGATATAGAAAATTAATTTAGGTTACACACCGTACCAGTCGTCCCAAGCTTATCTAGTAATAAATAGTTCATCAGCTTTTTCATTCGACATTCTAAAATGGTTTATCATTTGGTTGAGCACTTCATCATTCATTCGGTTGAGCACTTGAAAGCTCATTATTTGCATCTCATAGATGCTTTTGTCTCAACGCACTATCACCTTGATAATACCAGAATGTGTGTGTGTGTTTTTTTCTGTGTGTCTGTGTGTCCGCGTGTAATTTCCGAGCGGCTTAATCAAGAAAACGGTAAGAGTTACGGGGCTGGTTTTTTCAGTAAAGTGCTGACAAAACTCTGATGAAGTTAAATGGTAAAGGGTTTCAAAATCGGTCAGTGGTTAGTGGTTTAATTGATGGTTTTATACCACAAATGTTTTATAAAATAGCTTGAGCAGAACGGCAAGAGTTACGGGGCTCGCTCTCTCTCTCATTACTGTATAATATGTAGCTGCATAATAGTGTCATAATTGGGTTAGCCCGGGAAGATTCGCTGTAATGTTATACCATAAGCTTATTAGGGGAGGGGGGACTGTTAGTGTTTGGGGTCTGTTTGGACTGCAGAGAGAGAGAATTCATACGACAATGTTATGCGTGTTTTCAAATATAATAGGCGGGTGTGCACTGTGCGTGTGGTGCGGAGTTAACAAGGGTTAATTTCTATAAAGTTTTAAATAAAAATGGTTCAAGACGGGAGTGATGAGGTGTAATAGTCGGTGTTCAGACCTTATGATCATGTAATGTGGTGCCTAATGGCTAATAATGACTTAATTATCCACAAGAAAGAACTGATTATGAGATTATTGTTATTGTGAAGATACTATTGGGTCACCTAATGCAGGTTTTGACTCAGCGGGTAATTACTCCTACCCTTTTTAACTGCGGCAGTGAAATCCCGGCCGAAGGCCGGGTTACACTAGTTATATAATATGCCTGTTTCTGAAGATTGTATCCTCTGTACTCTGATTAACTTATTTAGTGATCATTCATAGATACATATATTGTTCAATTTATTTAAATGTATTCTGGTCAATACCACAATTAAAATTGGCAAAGTTTACTACAATTGTGATATTTGCAGACTTTAGAGATTGTTTACTATTAAACTGCACAAATTTTACCCAAACTAGATCAAATATAAACTATCATTATTGTCCCCTGAAGCTGTGCATGTTCAGTAAATGACGTAAGCAGCATAAATCTATCTGATTTCAGTTGTTGAATTACTGATTGTATTCGTGAGAATTCAATCAGCATAAATTTCGGGCCTCATCCACCCATTACTGACAAATTTAGGACCCCAATACCAAAACCCCGATTTACCACTGGTTTTCCCATTCCCAAACTCTATGCCAGATTAGGTTTAAATTATGTACATTGTAAAAACACCTTAAAATAATACTGAAACCCCCAAACTGTCTTGTTGAAGAAACTTAACCTTGAAAACATGGCCCTTACAAACATATACCAATCTCTGAAAAAAGGGCATTTTGGATTTGAAGTTACCTTAGAGTTTTCATTAGCAATGTAGTAAGGAATTACGGGAAGATTACGGCTCTATTTATTTGCTTTAAATTATCCCCCATTGTAGATTTTTGATGAAGCGCTTTTTTTACTCATGGATTTAGAACAATTGAACGTTTAAAATGTTTGTTTGCTTTCTCACCAACTATTTTACTAATTACTTATTCAGGGGTATGCGAAATGGCTTCAGTGGTAGACAGACTTCAAGCTGCTAAATTTACTATCACTGGTAATGATGTTTCAAAGACTGTTGGAAAAGCTACGACCCACGAAATGGGGGCTCCTAAAAGAAAGCATTTGGATTATTTAATACATGCCACCCATGAACCAAATGTATCACTTCCCGAATGTGCTGATATGCTTCTGACAAGAATTCAGGATCCTAGCTGGGTTGTCAGTCTCAAGGCTATGATGTCGCTTCATCATCTTATGAATGAAGGAAATGAAAAATTTATGAGATATATGGCATCAAAAGGGAACAGCTTTGAATTTGTCAGTGAAAAGATTGGTCCATTGGCAAATGATATGACACCATTCGTTAATAAATATGGTCATTTCTTAAGTGAAAAGTGTCACTCTTACAGACAAGCCACTACTGACTTTATCAGAGTTGCAAAGACAAACTTTCTCCGTCAGGCATCAGCCGATAAGCTTTTAGCGTATATTCCTATTCTCCAGCGACAAATAGATGGAATTGTCAATTTGGAACTCAGCAGTACAGACATATGCACTGAAATATGCCGGGCAGCCTTTGTCCTAATTTTCCGTGATCTGATAGCTCTCTTCACTATTTACAATGAAGGAATCATCAACATGCTTGAGCTATTTTTTGAAATGGAAAAGAAGCATGCCCGGGAAAGTTTTGATCTCTACAAAAAATTCATTGTTCGTATGGGAAAGGTAGAACATTTCCTGAAAGTTGCTGAGGATGCTGGTATAGACCAAGGAGATGATGTTCCCGACCTTTCTAAAGCTCCTAGTAGTTTATTATCTGCTTTAGAAAATCATCTAGGGTCTATCGACACCAAAAAGTCCACTCCTATCTCATCGCCCACGGAACTGACTCGCTCTCCCCAAGTTCCTCCTCGTCCTGCCACAACACCTGCCACAAACCCTTTCGGAGATACCTTTGAGCCCCAATCTCAAGATCTTCTGTCAGAGCCAATTCTTGTCAATACCTCTGAACCTCATAAGCCAGTAGCTGACATTAACGCTCTTCCAGATCTTTGGAGTAATCCAAATTCTGGTCCATCAATTCACAACAACAACAATGTAGTCGTTGAACAGTCATTTGACATCTTTAGTGCAGGAGATAACTCATCCAACTTATTCCCAACCATGTCTGCAGCTGATCCAAACCCATTCACAAGCGGTGGTCCCATTGACCTTTTATCTGATTCACCAACAGAAAAACAGAACCCTGGTTTTGCTCAATTTGAATCCAGTGATGTATCCAACGACTTGCTGCAGCCTTCTAGAATAGGTGCCACTCCAGAGGAGAAAGTGCAGAATGTCCGATCATTAATGCAAGATTTAGACTTAGGTCTGAAGAGTGCAGCTGCCAATTTCAGTCTGAATTCATCAACACCAAACAGAGGTGGACCAGCACTGGGGCCAGTTCGACCAATCTCAGCAGGTTCCACCTACAACCCCTTCGTTAGACCTGGATACCCAGGCCCAATGGTCAACACCATGCCTAACATGTCCATGCAAAGCAACATGGGGCCTGGCACAATGCCTGGGATGAACATGACAATGCAGGGACCCAGACCTATGGGACAGATGCAGGGTATGAGACCCATGATGCCCAACAACCAGCCTACTTATGGAATGGCCCAGGGAACCATGCCTGCTTTCAGCATGGGACAAACTCAAAACAGTAACTTATTGCAGTTCAATGCTATGGGTAATTCAGGATTTGGGAACATGCAGAACAATCAACAAGGACAGAATACTTTCGATCCTTTCGGTTGATTGATTAGAGAAGATTTTTATTTTCGAGCTTGACAAGTTTATTGTTCAATGATGATCATGTGTAGTTTAAATTTATTAGATTTTGATTTAGAAAAGATTTAGAATCAAGTAAAGGCCCAGTATAGTAGAGATATTGTGTACAGTAAAAAGTGAATTTTCTCTGTTTCGCAGAGATTAAGATCAAATTTCCGATTGTATGATCTCCCGTTTTTATGTCAAAATGCATGACGCTGCCTGGTGATGAATATTCCATAATAATAAGTAGATCTTGATATTATGATATTATGCTGATTTTGTTACATTTGTAGCCATACTTAGCAATACCTCACTTTCCATACCACAATATACTTATAAATATACTTGATTTCACATTAGAATCTCAGAACATTAAGTAAAAGCAAAACTTGATAGGGCACATTTTGCAGGGTATGAGACCCATGATGCCCAACAACCAGCCTACTTATGGAATGGCCCAGGGAACCATGCCTGCTTTCAGCATGGGACAAACTCAAAACAGTAACTTATTACAGTTCAATGCTATGGGTAATTCAGGATTTGGGAACATGCAGAACAATCAACAAGGACAGAATACTTTCGATCCTTTCGGTTGATTGATTAGAGAAGATTTTTATTTTCGAGCTTGACAAGTTTATTGTTCAATGATGATCATGTGTAGTTTAAATTTATTAGATTTTGATTTAGAAAAGATTTAGAATCAAGTAAAGGCCCAGTATAGTAGAGATATTGTGTACAGTAAAAAGTGAATTTTCTCTGTTTCGCAGAGATTAAGATCAAATTTCCGATTGTATGATCTCCCGTTTTTATGTCAAAATGCATGACGCTGCCTGGTGATGAATATTCCATAATAATAAGTAGATCTTGATATTATGATATTATGCTGATTTTGTTACATTTGTAGCCATACTTAGCAATACCTCACTTTCCATACCACAATATACTTATAAATATACTTGATTTCACATTAGAATCTCAGAACATTAAGTAAAAGCAAAACTTGATAGGGCACATTTTAACTTTTATGTTCACTTCAAAATAATCGGAGGTTCCATTTGACGACGATGATGAAAACATGACACCATCATGACGTTATATTGGTTGCGTAACATTGTTATGTTGTAATAAAGGAAATTTAATATTTCATGTTATCATCATTCATCATAGGTCTTCAACGTCATTAATTTAGATATTGTAGTGAAATGCAGGTCATTCATTTGCAACGTGTAATATGATAACATATTATGATAACAAATCTATAATTGATGTATAATGATGTTTTTAAATCACTTATGTTCATTGTTCTTGAGTTATAAGTTCGTATTCATTGATATTGAAATCAGGACGATAAGACCAATCAATCGCTAAAAACATAAATCATGTTCAAATATTGAAATTTAAGAGATAAATTAATGCAAACAAATCAGGATCTTTCAAATTTCCTACCATGACTCACTTGTGGAATGTGGAGGTCACATCTCTGAATTTACTACAAATAATACCTTTACACACTACACAGGACACTTACCCTCCCTGATGTCAGTATAATTCTCTACACGGCGGGGACGCATGGCTCCTTACAACAATGACCTCGTGAAGGGATGTTTTGGTGTGGTTCCCCTCCACGTAGCCCAACATCCTCACAACTGCATCAGTAATAATGGCCTCCCCATTACTCATAACTCTGTCAGACTCATTGGCAGATACGCTGATTTGACTTCTTTGTCTCATCCGAACATTTGTAGATATCTGGATATTGTGAGGTAGAGAATTAAATCAATGGAATTAGAATTGCTTTTGTTGGTTGCTGTATACATTTTATCTAGCAGTGATGAACACAGCTACGCTGACACACTGTGTATTTCTTAATCTTACATATTCTGTGTTATTTGTCATGACAGTGAGCTATCGTCATTAGATTACGTGATCATTAATCCAATTAGCGGTATTTTCTGATCGCATATATAATAAGATGTATACATTTGAATATTACACTGATGATAACTTTAAAATAACAGGGGTAAAGGAGAATTGGTAGCAGTAGTGCAGGAGTACCATGAACTATCTCTACGTCAGCTAATCTCCAGTACACAGGATACTCAGACCCTAGATACCAAACAAGTTGTCTACGATATCACTTGTGGACTCCGGTATCTTCACTCCAAGAGGATAGGTCAGTACTTGATTAATGCTAGATAATATTAAATGTATAATATTATGTTATTTTAATTATTTAATATCTTAAGTAGGATGTAGACTGTACTGTCTAGTGTTCTGTGTTTGTTTACCTAAAATTAGGGATATAGCACCTGATGTTTGGTGCTTTATTCTTAGCACATAATGACATATATAATGTGTGTTTGTGTTTGCGTGGATAGTCGATACATTTCCGGGGTTGTACCAATTTATACAGCTTTAATTTTTAGCCCTGTTTTTACAGGAGATAACAAGGCTAACAGGCTAACATAATAGGCATTTATAATACGAATAATAGCTTACAGATCATATGATCAGATTACTTCTCACTCAGCTATTTTGGGGCTATTTAGCTACTGATCTAACACACTTCTAATAACACTACTAATTTACTATAGAAACACTACTAATATACTTCTGCTGAGTACTGATCACGACTAATACACAAATTTACACACTTTTCCATTCTTTTCAGAATGTCATTACACGTTTTGTAAATAACATCTAGTGATGTGTTTGATGTTTTAGAGTCTGGAGATAAAAACATAATTTGGTTGAATGGACACGGTAGTATATTTGAGTACTTAAAAAATAGATAATTGGATTTTCACCGTATTTGAATTTTGTTTGACGAGGTCATATTTCAGTGAACAGATCAGTAACCCTTCAAAACGTGCTGTTTGAAAAGTCAAGTGGTGCAGCTAAGCTAAGTAACTTTGGTTTCTCTTACCTAACAAACGGAGGCAAAGCTGTAGAATTCTTTGTGGGGGACCGAGCATTGTCTGCCCCGGAGGTAAGCGCCGTCATTTGCTTCATAATTCTATAGAAATATAGAGTTGTTGTTACTGATACTGTAACTTTATTGTAGTCCAAACCTCTCGAGCAGAGCAGTGAGCGTTCCACAGAAAATATTTTGGCGACCATGTGACTGTTGTGGCCAATGAAAAGCAGACAATCACTAACTTGAAAGTGCATGATTTTTTAGAATTCTTTAAATAGAGATGAGGAAACAAAAAAGAGGAACACGATATTGCAACATCCTCTGACGTTAATATAGCGTATAATACCTTAATATGAAATATCAGGTCATATCTTTAAACCACACCCCCATCCTGACCCCCTGTAATATTTACACAACTCATTAACTCTGTTCTTACCGTTATCTTATCTTACAGGTGTTAGTTAGTAAGTTAACCTCAACTAAGTCCGACATTTGGTCTCTAGCTGTCCTTCTTCTCTGTATCTTCAACAAAGGTCACCTAGTTGGGGACTCCTCTAACTTTGCTGCTGTGATCAAGATCTTGTTCGGTGGGGAGACCCTTGAAGAAAAGTGTGGATTACTGGGTATTGAGCTGCAGTCTGAGTTTTTGGAGGTGTGTATGATGTAGAAAATAAATAATTGAAATCTTAACGCGCTTCTTTGGATTTTATGTAATTTAATCATAATATTGAATTCGAATATTTTTTGTTTTAAGCGATGTTAATTCCTAGTTTTTAGAGAAGAGTTTGGTTATAAAACCTACTGCCAGAGCAACCGCCCAGCAACTCCTACAACTGCAAGTCTTTGCAGGTCAGTTCTGTTGTAATCTCCAAGATCAGCATTTTCTGCATAATATGATTGCTGTGACATATTGACATTACCGGAAAGAATGGTGTGTGTACCTTCGTTAATCGAGACTCATTGTAGAAAAGTCATTACCAAAGTACCACTATTCATCTCATAGTGTAAGCCTGTCAAGGACGCTCGAGTGTGTGCTTGCAGCCATTATGGGGGGGGGGGGGGGGCGGGGGGGGGGGGATGCCATTAACTCTCACAACTAATACAGCAACAACAAATGTGCCCATTTCTTTATTCAGTTTGTAATGTTAATTTGAAATTATGACTCAATATGTAAAGCCGGCTCCTTGTTGCCACACTGTTCTAGTAAACATTAGTTACACTCGAGCTTCTTTGTGGGTATGGTCCGTATGGAGTGAAATAAAGTCCGCTATTTAATCAAACACATAGTAACGGTAGCGACTATTGTTGTTGCTATAACTACGGTCGAGTACAGCCATACTAACGGTTATGTCTGTATATATCATACTCACGTCATATCATTGTAAGGGGGATTATATAGACTATTATATAGACTATATAATAGGGTATATATAAGCTATATTTAGTCTCTCATCCTACACTACAAACTAAGAGATCTTGTTAGACGTCTGCCTAACAGGTGTGATACAACACTGTAACACTGATATTGTAGCAGTATTATGGGGAGTGATGAGGTGTGATATGAGGTGTGATACAACACTGTACTAACACTGTAACACTGATATTGTAGCAGTATTATTATTAACCAGATGTTTAGCTATTCTTACTATTTACGATTCATCACAGAGTGCAAGCCCCGCAAGCACGAGATGGAGTTGTACCCTTTTGCTGTTTCCAAAGCTCATCTCATCAGCTGTGAAGACGTAGTGAGTAGCTTCTCGGATTTAGGATTGAAAATCTGTTTTTTGTATCCAGTTAAAATACAATTATTTAAATATTGTCCAAAAATCAAACGAAGTATTTACATTGAGGTTTTAGTTATTTAATTATAATTAGTTAAGCTAATCACCCAGGTTGATGAGTCTGAGTTAGAAGACCCATTATCGCGAGCATGTTCTCTAGTTGAACTGTACGAATTATGGAGAATGGCAGGGGGAGATGTGCTAGCTGAACTAGAGAAGTAAGTGATGGTCACGTGACTATTATCACGTGACTATTATCACGTGACTATCACGTGACAATCACGTGACCATCACGTGAAATGTTTATATGTAATGTCAGCTCTACATATGTTGATCATAATGTTGTCACTCAGCTACACTGTGTGTCACACACAGTGTGTGTTTTACATCAGCTTGTCAAGCGTCATAGGTAATAGCGGGGAGGTAAGTTTATTTAAACACGTGACTGAGATTCTGGGAGCTGATTGGTTGGTGTTTTAAATTGATTGGTTCAAATCAAACATACGCGACCACCCCTCTATTACCCATGTTTATTGTTTAATGTTTATGTGTAATTACATATGTTATTAACTTCATAATGCTGTTATAATCAGTGTTCCAGGCTAATAATGTATAATTATAAGTATTAGCGTCTAGTAATATCTAATAACCTGCCTGACCAGGTTTGGTTTAGTAAGAGGTTCCATCCCTATCTGTGATCTGCCTCTAGTTTCACTTCCTTCCGGAGAGATATACAAGGAACACCGTGATAATATCCTGGGAGAAAGACAAACCTTGTATCCCATATCTCCTTCTCTTATCGTAAAGAGATTGGCTCATGTGGAACCAGAGGTTTGTTGAGATTTTACTGAATTTTAAACAATTTAATTAAATCTTATGGAAATATGTGTCGGCGTGTGCAGTGTGCAGTGTAAACTTAGTGAGTCTGGCTAATAATCTACTGGTAATTTTATTGTACAATGTAAGAGTTAGCCGGTACATAAAATCGCAAAACAAACAATAATGTTTAAAATATGTTACACATTACCCCAAGTGTGTAGATATGTTATTTGTATAAGTTGGAAGGTACCCCTCTTGAATTAGTAGACCCCTCTGAGTGTATGTGTAACGTAGTAACATGAGATGTGTATGACTTAAGACGGACCTTCACTAACAAGGAACCAGATGACGCTCATACACGAACTGCAAGATAGAGAAGCATTATTTTCCGAGTAATAGAGCTTTTTAGCGCGCTTTTAATGACCCGTACAACATGATGTCCATATAAGGGCATTTTATAAAGTTGCTAAATGCAGATTTTCTGGCACCTCTCTAGGTAAGGTTTCCAAGTTTAGACCTCAACTAAAATACATATACTCTCTACGTATTGTATCTATAAGGCCCTTCACAGCCTTGAACTTCTTCTTCCTCGACACGGCTTCCCTGTTGACATTCAACCCAATTCACGCTTATTCAATGTGTACATGTCCGTTATATGCTGCCATTATATTATATGCTGCATAATGTTTTCATATTATTCACACTTTATAGTTTATTAAATAGTAGTATTGGTGCTATTTGAGAGTTCTTCCTGGTAATGCTGCTAAAATTACTTAACCGTTATTGTACTAACTATTGAAACTTTATAATGTTTGATATTATATAAAGTTGTGAACGTTGCAGGTGTTTTATCCGCTGACTTTGACCAAGTGTAAGCTGTCTAAAGGAATGCAAGACATGTCACAATTGCCAACTGTAATCAAGGAAAGGAACATTGAATATCAATTACACAGGATCAAACTATTCACAGCTCTCCTCCATGTAAGTGAGTGATGTGTATTATTCTCCTTGTGTAGATGTCAAAACTATGCAGATTATATTTATGATTTCGTTTCAAATTACCGGTTTTTCAACCAAGTACCTACTCATAACAAATGTTATAATTTCCCAGGGGTACCCGGCAACAGTTGACGCGATTAGAAAGGAGGCGATGTTAGATGTGCCACCTTTACTTCGGAGATACGTTTGGTCAGCTTTACTAGAAATCAAAGGTATGATCATTTGCCACGCGTAGCCTAAAGGGTCCGTAATGAAACTTCGTTAAAGTTCAATATCAGTCTATCAGTTTGGGACAAGCGGGAAAGAAAAGCTTTGGTACTAGCAAATTTTGTAGCAAATAGTGTATAAAATTTCATTGCGAGCGTTTACTGCAATCACGCGCGGACGGGACGCGCGCTCCTTGCTGCATGTTTTATAAATATAGTGCTTCGGTATATACGTACTGTGCATGTATACTCCTTCCATGATATGCAGGATTATAGCCTGCATACTGGTAACAATTATGTTTGTCACTTGTATATTTTGGACTTCGTGTTGTACGATTATGTCACTTTAGTTACCAGACTTCTTGGTTGAGTTGCTAGGGGTTATACAAAGCCGCAAACATAGCATTCATAGTGTAATAATTTGGCCAATAAATAATTTGATCTCGAGCACCTCTCGGCAGCACAACGCTCAAGAGGATGTTATGAGGCACATCTTAGATTCTAATTTTCACCAGGAGATATCGAAGATTATTACAACAAGATAGATAAGACCCAGTCGCTGGGAGCAATAGACAGACAGATAGATGTAGACATACCAAGATGTCACCAATATAATCATTTCCTTTCCTCTCCAACCGGACACTGGAAATTGAGGAGAGTTCTTAAAGCTTGGGTCATTGACCATCCTGACCTGACATATTGGCAGGTGAGTTATTTTCTGAGTTCGATTCTCAATTTTTCGTGAAATCGCACCCGTAGATGCCAAATAATTATTTTTCACTTCAAAAAATGAAGTAAATTTTGAACATTGAACAGCAAGGTAACTCTTGAAAGATCTAAATTGTGCGTGACCAAAGTGCCTATCCCAGGGATTAGATAGTCTTGCAGCTCCGTTCCTTGTTCTACACTCGGGAAACGAGGCACTGGCCTACGCTTCTCTCAAGACTTTCGTGAGAAAGTATGTCAACAATTTCTTCCTGAAAGATAATTCCCACGTGATGACGGAGTACTTGTGGGTGTTCTGTCAGTTAGTCATGTTTCACGATCCTGAACTGGCTCTCCACATTCAAAACATGGGCTTTATTCCTGGTTAGTGATCCTGCATATTATTTTTATCCAACTATTTGTATCCTTATTTATTTTACATTCTCGATCTTTGGAACAAAATGAACAGTTATCGAATGATTCGTATATGAACTGTGTTACATACGATAAAAGCCAAAATTCCCAAACATAACGTCTGTTCCGCAGAGCTGTACGCGATACCTTGGTTCCTGACTATGTTTACACACGTGTTCCCTCTTCAGAAGATATTCTATTTATGGGACACCATGCTACTTGGTAAATATCTTTTTTAAATGAATATCTTAAAATTTCTTGGAATTTATCACTAATATCGCTCTTTCATCCTCGTTATGTAAACATCAAAACTCCTTATATCACTTTATAATGAACGTGTTTCCCTTCAGGTAATTCCTCGTTCCCGATGTTCCTAGGAGCAGCTGTTCTAATCCAAGTCAGAGAGACGCTCCTCTCCTACGAGTTTAACGAGTGTATCTTACTTTTCTCCGACATGCCCGACGTAGATATCGACAAGATCATCAAGGATGCAATGAGGATGTACCAGATCACGCCCATGACACTTACTTATCGCAAACATAGCTACCACCACCAAGAGAACGAACTGTTGCCTCCTAAGCCATCTGAAGGTGGTGCTAAATACTCTTACAACTTCTCTAAAACATTCCTAGCCGAGCATGTTGCTTCTTTCCCTGACACTCCAGAGCTAAAGGAGGATATCTGTGGCCGAATATTTATCCAGGATCTAGCCAAGTTGCTGAGGTACCAGGAAAGTGTGGAGAGAAGAGGTGGCACTGCCAGTTCCACTATTGTAGTAGTGGATATCAGAAGTCAGGATGTCTTTGTGGTTGGTCATCTCCCCGACAGTCTTAACGTGCCCATCTCACAAGATCTGGTAACTTCTGACGGTCAACCAACTTCACCGGAGGTTCACACTTTGTTGAGACATCGCAGGAAACGGGACTCCCTGACGGTGGTAGTCGGCCCAAATGAGGGGGCTAGTAGGAAGTTTTGTAAGATGTTGATGGGACTACATTTTCTGCACGTGGCGCGGGTACACGGAGGAACCAGTGCTTTGTCTCAGGCTGGTATGTTGTGTGCTGCAACGTAATCAGTTTTTAAATATTTTTTTCTTATTATTGTTTACTATTTTACCATTTGGCATGTTTAATGTAAGAGTAATTTATTGATCTTTTCACTGTTCATTGTTAAATTGCTGTTTGTGAAGTCTGGATGTTATATTATTATGACAGTTTATAAAAAACTTGTTTCAATAGTACGTTTATATGTAGTTAAACGTAGTTGATGAGTGATAGCAGTATTCAACAACATTGTTAGTTAATTATTCCTAATCACGCATTATGTATGAAAATATTGAGACTGTAGTGACCAGCGATGAGCTCTTATTGACGGTAAAATTTCTGGAGAACGCATTGAACTATGAGATATACGCAACACAGCTCAAGTAATACGTATTATTAGAAAAATGTACCACAACAGATTGCTCAAACTCGGAGTCCGAGACAATTTGTTATTGTAATTGCCATCTGTATGATGATTATTATACTTGTACGTAAAAATATTGGCAACAATTCGTTTGGACCAAAGAAATTTCCAATTTGATAACACATAACAGTGAAAAAATCGATTACCCAGCATAACATGAAATTGAAATATTGACCATTCATGTTCATCGAAAAAGAAAAATAATTTAATCAACCCTTCATAACATCTTTTCTTTGTAGCGTATGAAAAAACGCCGAAATCGTTCCAATCGTTGGCATATTATTATAATGATGACTTTCTTCCAAATTTTGCAGTTCACTCCAGTTAAAGTGTAACTCTGTAAACAAAATTGTCGCAGTCTAGTAAACAAAATTGGATCTAGAATTTTCAGAGACTGACTCTTCACGATCTTCACATAAATGAAATCGTAACTCAAACTGAAGTTCACTCTTAAGTTCCCTAAAGTTAACACCGTATTTCTAGTCAGAATCAAGAGTGTCCATTAGAGAGAGCAAGTCTTCTCCTTTACTGACATTGTCTTCGTTATTCACGCTCATTTCACCGAAATCCTGGAAAGATGACTGACGAGTGTATGTAATAGGCCAAAGTGTAAACCGTGATTAATTGAGATGAATTTAGGGTAATATGGTGTAATATCTAGGTAGTGTAGTGATTATAATAAGGCGGTCGTGGTGTCCAGTATGTGACGGTAGTATTTCGGGCATATATTAGTATACGACAGTTATTGCAGTTTAAGTGCAGAGAGGTCAGTTTAACATATGTTTGGGTCAGTACGAGGTTGAATTATGGAGTGTTTACAGAATACTAGTGGTACTATGTTGTGGCTATCGACAGGACAGTTTGCAATTCCCGGGAAATGGTAGATTGTTTAGACTATCAGGGACGAGAGGAAAATACGATTAGCCTTTTGAGATCAGGAGTGCCAGTTTACCCGATCGAGAGGGGGGTCATTTTGATACCGGGCAGGTTCTGTAGCTAGAACCTGTTAAGGTTAGGTCGTTTAGTTAGGTAGATGGCTATAGTGGTAAGTATAATATTGGCGGCCGTAGAATAGTGGAGCATTACGTAGTTACTATTATCAGGCTTGGTTGTGGCCGGGGTCAACAATGGTTGGTCCGACACCAGGGGATGTCTTGACAACACTGGGCTCTGGCAGAGCGAGAGTCAGCAATGGTTGACTCAGATAGGTAAAGCTAGACTAAGAGTAAGAGCCCGGGAGAAATAGTCAGCGCTGGTTGACTTAGATAGATAAAGCTAGACTAAGAATAAGAGCCCGGGAGGAATAGTCAGCACTGGTTGACTTAGATAGATAAAGCTAGACTAAGAATAAGAGCCCGGGAGGAATAGTCAGCACTGGTTGACTTAGATAGATAAAGCTAGACTAAGAGTAAGAGCCCGGGAGAAATAGTCAGCACTGGTTGACTTAGACAGATAAAGCTAGACTAAGAATAAGAGCCCGGGAGGAATAGTCAGCAATGGTTGACTTAGATAGGTAAAGCTAGACTAGGATAGTAGTAGAATAGTGGAGCATTACGTAGTTACTATTATCAGGCTTGGTTGTGGCCGGGGTCAACAATGGTTGGTCCGACACCAGGGGATGTCTTGACAACACTGGGCTCTGGCAGAGCGAGAGTCAGCAATGGTTGACTCAGACAGATAAGGCTAGACTAAGAGTAAGAGCCCGGGAGGAATAGACAGCAATGGTTGACTCAGATAGGTAAAGCTAGATTAAGGGTAGGATTAACGGCAGGAAGTGTGTTGCGTAATATTTGAGGCAGTATGAATCGGAGTAATTAGGAATTTGTTGCATAGTATTTGAGGCAATATGAGTCTAAGTGACTAAGCGTTGGTTGAGCAAATATTCGATTATTCATTGTTCAGTTAAGTACCTTGGGCACCTTTATTATACCCCTTGTTTGCATTCTCACCCTATTCGATAGAGGGTCATGGTTGATACCGGACTAGTGTGAGGGACCAGGACCAGTTATGGTTGGGGCCTGGTGAGCACGGATGGAACGTGTCGTTAGAGGTTTAGAATCGGCAGTGGTTGTTTCAGGGCACCTAGATTAGGCACGGTCAAGGCGAGTTGACCGTGCTATCCGTGTTTTATGTTGCAGCACTAGATCGCTGGGCGTTTATGGGCGATACGAGTCTGGTTAATTAGGATTTGAAGTAGAGGTTGTCGAATTATTCATTGTGTTGTTTCATAGTTTAATTTTGTTTACCTTTTATTATCACGCTCGTTTCCATTGTCCAAACCCTTAATTAAATGCAAATAAACTTCGAACCGAGAAGCAAGTGTCGACTGCTTACAAATGGCGCGAACGGTAGGATCCTATTTTATAATAGGATAGTTTGTTTTGTATTTTAATTAAGGTAATGGAGACTATTTAGTGTGTGAGAGTGAGTCGACAGAGGTCAGGAGTATTTGTAAATATGTACGTAAACGTAATATTATACAGTGTGGTCAGTTGCCGTTGCTAGACTAGTGCAGTGCAAGAGCAGTAAATTAATGCTCGGTGAAGTGTAGAGTTTAAATGTTATTTTTGGGGTTTCTTTCATCATGGAGGGGAAAGGGGGTTAGATACCGGAGAGGCACAGGTTTTGAGGGGTTATTTTGAGGAGTATATGTCCGTCCGTTGAGGGATTGGTTCGAGAGAGTGTTTTGATGAGTTGATTCAGAGATAACCGGGTCTTATTTTAAGTTTTAAGACGGCAGACTTGACATACTTTCAGCCACCAGAGCCTCAGTGGGAGTGGCTGCCTGCTGAACCGTTCTGTAGTGTGTCAGACTTGTTTTCTTTTAGTAGCGCTACGTATTGTGATATCATGAAAGAGATAGAGGAAGAGATAGAGGAAGAGATAGAGGAAGAGATAGAGAAAGAGATAGAGGAAGAGATAGAGGAAGAGATATTATATAAATAAGACCCGGGTGATGCTAGCATTGGAGGTTGAAGAGAGGTTATTCGGAGAGTGGTGACGTCACTTGTAGGGAATTAGAGCGGTGTATTGATTTGAAAACTTGGAACGTTTTGAAGGGGTTTTGAAATTTGAGGGGTGCCGGGGCATGGTATTTTCTATGATGAAAGAAATTAGGACTACTTTTCTGTGAAGAGAGTGTTGAATTGACTGTCCGAATATTTGAATATGAGGAACTGACGGAAATTAAGTCATGGAGTGACGGTGTGAGACACTGATTTATCAATTAGAGTAAAAACCGAGCAAAAGAGAGCTGATAAGCGAGAGCTTTAATTATTACATTTGACCTGTACACTGGTTATTTTAATTATTACATGTTAATTAGTACATTGTTGAAGAGAGAGACAGTGTTTGTATTTTAATTAGTACATTATTGAAGAGAGAGACAGTGTTTGTATTTTAATTAGTACACTGTTGAAGAGAGAGACAGTGTTTGTATTTTATTTTAATACTTTCAACACTACTATATAACAAATAATTTGAGTCAGGGAAGCGGCACTGAGAGAGGAACTGTTGAAGAGAGAGACAGTGTTTGTATTTTAATTAGTACATTATTGAAGAGAGAGACAGTGTTTGTATTTTAATTAGTACACTGTTGAAGAGAGAGACAGTGTTTGTATTTTATTTTAATACTTTCAACACTACTATATAACAAATAATTTGAGTCAGGGAAGCGGCACTGAGAGAGGAACTGTTGAAGAGAGAGACAGTGTTTGTATTTTAATTAGTACATTATTGAAGAGAGAGACAGTGTTTGTATTTTAATTAGTACACTGTTGAAGAGAGAGACAGTGTTTGTATTTTATTTTAATACTTTCAACACTACTATATAACAAATAATTTGAGTCAGGGAAGCGGCACTGAGAGAGGAACTGTTGAAGAGAGAGACAGTGTTTGTATTTTAATTAGTACATTATTGAAGAGAGAGACAGTGTTTGTATTTTAATTAGTACACTGTTGAAGAGAGAGACAGTGTTTGTATTTTATTTTAATACTTTCAACACTACTATATAACAAATAATTTGAGTCAGGGAAGCAACACTGAGAGAGGAACTGGTGAAACGAGAGAGACAGTGTTTGTATTGTATTTTAATACTTTCAACACTACTATATAACAAATAATTTGAGTCAGGGAAGCGGCACTGAGAGAGGAATTGGCAGAGATAAAGATAGCTAATGAGGTAATGATGAGAGCGCGGCAGGAGGCTGAGCTAGCAAACGAAGAGTTAAGGACTCAATATGATGAATTGAGGCAGCAGGGAGCACAGCTAAGAAGAGATGGATTCAGAGAGGGTAAGCTAGAAGCTAGGCAGGAGAAGGAGACCGAAAAGAGGAGAATCAGAGAAGCGAACAGAGCAGCGGGTAAGAAATACCCATTAATGAAACCTCGGATGTTTGTGCTGGGGAAACACAGCTTTAGAACCTTCCTGAGCGGGTTTAAAATATTTGCCAATGCTGCGGACATCTTGGATGAAGACTTGGCGGCACTGAGAGAGGAATTGGCAGAGATAAAGATAGCTAATGAGGTAATGATGAGAGCGCGGCAGGAGGCTGAGCTAGCAAACGAGAGAGGAATTGGCAGAGATAAAGATAGCTAATGAGGTAATGATGAGAGCGCGGCAGGAGGCTGAGCTAGCAAACGAAGAGTTAAGGACTCAATATGATGAATTGAGGCAGCAGGGAGCACAGCTAAGAAGAGATGGATTCAGAGAGGGTAAGTTAGAAGCTATGCAGGAGAATGAGACCGAAAAGAGGAGAATCAGAGAAGCAAACAGAGCAGCGTGTAAGAAATACCCATTAATGAAACCTCGGATGTTTGTGCTAGGGAAACACAGCTTTAGAACCTTCCTGAGCGGGTTTAAAATATTTTCCAATGCTGCGGACATCTTGGATGAAGACTTGGTGGACATGATCATGACGTACTTGGACCCCAAGGCACAGAGGAGAGTGGAGACCCTACGATTAACCCGGGACGAGAAGAGAAATGCAGAGGCGAGTTTGGAGAGGATGACAGAGGTGCTATGTGATGTGCATTCAAAGGCGGAGTGCAGGAAGAGACTTTTTGAGATGCGTCAGAAAGAGGAAGAGACAATTTCGGATTTTGCAGCTAGAGTCACTGACATGACGGATGCGGCATATGCACCGGAGAATGAGGAGATCAAGAAGACCATCAGGCTAGATGTATTTACAGCTGGGGTATTAAAGGATGAAATCGGGATCGAGTTAATCAAGTCAGAATTGGAAGATTTTGAGGCCGCGCTAAAGAGGGCAGTTAAGTTGGATGGGATCCTGGCGAGTCGTAACCCTAAACCAACGAAGAATGAGGAGGAACTTTTGTTCCAAATCGGGGAGGATATAGAGATGGATGAGGGAGTGATAAACCGAGTGATGGAAGAGAACTGGCCGAGAAGAGACATCGGTGCTGGTTACACCTGTGGACAGCATGGACATTTCGCAAAGGAATGTAGAAAGCCCCCTACTTGTTATGGATGCGGGAGACAGGGTCATATTGCAATGGATGGTACGCAAGGACACGGTGGCCGAGGAGGTTTTCAAAGAGAGCGAGGGAACTTCAGAAGAGGAGGAGTACAGCAAAGAAGACCAATGGGAGACAGGTGCTTCAAATGCAATAAGAGTGGACATAGAGCGGATCAATGTGTGACTTGCTTCAAGTGTGGTGTTGCTGGGCATGTAAGTACCCAGTGTAACCATGGACGGGGTAATCAGGAGGCAGGGCAGGAACGAGTGAGAGAAGGACTGCAGTCATTGAGGGGACAAGGGAACTTTAATGCCAGCCCTTATAATAACAGTTCTTTAAACTAATACACGCTCCTGAAGGTAGTGGACCCTCTCCAAGGAGGAAGACCATAGCGAGAGTCCTTCCTGAATCCTGGGGAAAGATGATGGGAAGAGAGGAGTCCCATTTAGAAGCGGTACCTGATAAACAAGAGCGAGCTGAGGAGGAGAAGAGGGGTTCTAATGTAGTAAAGCAGAAAGAGGAGAGCCAGAAAGAGGAAAAGAGGTGTACCAGCTGGCATGGGGGTTAGCGAGAGTCCTTCCTGAAATAGAAGAGTCCCTTTTAGAAGCGTTACCTGGTAAACAAAGAGGAGGAGAAGAGGGGTTCTAATGTAGTAAAGCAGAAAGAGGAGAGCCAGAAAGAGGAAAAGAGGTGTACCAGCTGGCATGGGGGTTAGCGAGAGTCCTTCCTGAAATAGAAGAGTCCCTTTTAGAAGCGTTACCTGGTAAACAAAAAACAAGCCGAGGCAGATAATAGGGATTCTGATGTAGTGGAGCAGAAGGAGGAGAGCCAGAAAGAGGAGTACGACCAGACAGAGGGGGGCCAGAGTGTAGAGTGGGCATTGGTCAATGTCAGTGCTGGATATCTGTATTTGCCCGTGACAATCGCAAATAGGGAGGTTTTTGCACTGGTGGATAGTGGATCTATGCATAGCATCATATCTAAGAGTTTGATGGATAAGTTACAGGGTGTTCTGACAGTAAAAGAGACCGTGGTGAAGTTAAAGGCCCCCGGGGGTACGCCTATATACGTGCAAGGAGAGGTGCACGATAAGGTCGGCGTAGGAGGTAGAAAAATGGGGGTAACATTGGTTGTAGCCCATATTCTAGAGGACATAATTGGAAGCGATATTTTTACGGAGAACGGGGCCACATTAGATTTTCAGAATCCAGTTTAAACCATGAGCTGGTCAGTCCCAGCTTCTAGGGCCTTCATTTTGCAATGAGTTTTATGCAGCAGATGTGGCGATCACTAGGTTGAGATACTATCTATACGGCAAAAAGTTTACGTTATATACAGATGGTCAGGGAATCACCTTCAGTAAGACGTGAGCTGATAATGGAGACATAGAGTGATCGGAGACGAGAGCTAATAAATGGGGTCACAGAGCGATCGGAGACAAGTGATGATAAAGGGAGACACAGTACGATCGGAGACAAGTACTGATAAATGGAGACACAGAGGGGTCAGAGACGAAGGCTGATAAATGGAGACCAGTCTTACTTTCAACACTACTATATAACCAATAATTTGAGGAGGTTCTCTCAAGATGATTTTTAATTCGAAGATTTCAAGAGCCTAAACTGTGTATGATTCGCCTCTCCAAACAGATCAAAAGAGACACAGAGTAGTCGGAGACGAAGGCTGATAAATAGAGACACAATATGGTCGGAGACGAGAGCTGATAAATGGAGACACAGTACAATCGGAGACAAGTACTGATAAATGAAGACACAGAGTTGGTGGAGACGAGAGCTGATAAATGGAGACACAGAGTGGTTGGAGACGAGAGCTGATAAACGGAGACACAGAGAGCTGATAAATAGAGACACAGAGTGGTCGGAGGCAAGAGCTATTAAATGGAGACACAGAGTGATCGAAGACGAGAGCTGATAAATGGAGACACAGAGAGTTGATAAATGGAGACACAAAGTGGTCGGAGACGAGAGCTGATAAATGGAGACACAGAAAGCTGATAAATGGAGACACAGACGAGACGGAGGCGTGAGCTGATAAATGGAGACATAGACGGGTCGGAGACAAGAGCTGATAAATGGAGACACAGTCCACAGAGTGGTCGGGGACGAGTTACGGGAGAATGCGGATAGGCTGGAAGGAGATACAGAGTCAGGATGAGTCACAAAATTTATATAACAGTAGTTATATCGAAATAACAGTGCAATATCGTTGATCACAAAAATCAGATAAATCAGAAATTACTTGGAACTGAAAGAACTGTCGATATTGAAATGAAAAGTAAAACAAAGTTTAATAAATAACTATCGGAGAGTATTACCCAACAGGGACGGTGAGGAGAAGATGATTAACATACCTGGAGTACAAGAGAGACAGTGAAACTAAACCCACGAACTGAGACGCTATACATCATCTTGTATTCTGAACAGAGATAGAGAGAGAGATCCAGAGGAAGATAGTCTGGGCAAGGAGTGGAGATATAGAACGAGAGCCAGAAAAAGATATGTCGAACGACGAACGGAGACTCGAGACCGGATCCAGATGAGGATGTTCGGAACGGAGAACGAGACGGAGATAATAAGAGACGAAAGACAAGATAGACAAATGAAGTAAGCTGTTAAGTTTGATGAAACTTTATTAAATTATTATAGTGGGGCTTTAAATGCTCTCCATGGTATTTCGGAAGGTTGAGGAAGAGCAGAAAAAAGGTTTTAGAAAGTGTGTTTTATTATACCAGAATAGTAAAGTTTTAAGAAAGATCAAATTTTCATGATCGGGCAAGATTTTTACGAGATTTTCCATTCAGTTAGTGTCCCAGCAGTATGATAGGGTTCTAAGAAAGAACATATTTTGTAAAGTTGTAAGCTGTGATCGGGCAAGAGATATGGTCTATAGTAAGAGATTTTCCATTAAATTATTGTACCAGTATGGTAAGGTTCTAAGAAAGAACATATTTTGTAAAGTTGTGTAAGCCGTGACCGGGCAAGAGATATGGTCTATAGTAAGAGATTTTCCATTAAATTATTGTACCAGTATAGTAGGGTTCTAAGAAAGAACATATTTTGTAAAGTTGTGTAAACCGTGATTAATTGAGATGAATTTAGGGTAATATGGTGTAATATCTAGGTAGTGTAGTGATTATAATAAGGCGGTCGTGGTGTCCAGTATGTGACGGTAGTATTTCGGGCATATATTAGTATACGACAGTTATTGCAGTTTAAGTGCAGAGAGGTCAGTTTAACATATGTTTGGGTCAGTACGAGGTTGAATTATGGAGTGTTTACAGAATACTAGTGGTACTATGTTGTGGCTATCGACAGGACAGTTTGCAATTCCCGGGAAATGGTAGATTGTTTAGACTATCAGGGGCGAGAGGAAAATACGATTAGCCTTTTGAGATCGGGAGTGCCAGTTTACCCGATCGAGAGGGGGGTCATTTTGATACCGGGCAGGTTCTGTAGCTAGAACCTGTTAAGGTTAGGTCGTTTAGTTAGGTAGATGGTTATAGTGGTAAGTATAATATTGGCGGCCGTAGAATAGTGGAGCATTACGTAGTTACTATTATCAGGCTTGGTTGTGGCCGGGGTCAACAATGGTTGGTCCGACACCAGGGGATGTCTTGACAACACTGGGCTCTGGCAGAGCGAGAGTCAGCAATGGTTGACTAAGATAGGTAAAGCTAGACTAAGAGTAGGAGCCCGGGAGAAATAGTCAGCGCTGGTTGACTTAGATAGATAAAGCTAGACTAAGAATAAGAGCCCGGGAGGAATAGTCAGCACTGGTTGACTCAGATAGGTAAAGCTAGACTAAGATTAGGAGCCCGGGAGGAATAGTCAGCGCTGGTTGACTTAGATAGATAAAGCTAGACTAAGAGTAAGAGCCCGGAAGGAATAGTCAGCACTGGTTGACTCAGATAGGTAAAGCTAGACTAAGAGTAAGAGCCCGGGAGAAATAGTCAGCAATGGTTGACTCAGATAGGTAAAGCTAAAATAAGAATAAGAGCCCGGGAGGAATAGTCAGCACTGGTTGACTCAGACAGATAAGGCTAGACTAAGAGTAAGAGCCCGGGAGGAATAGTCAGCAATGGTTGACTCAGATAGGTAAAGCTAGATTAAGGGTAGGATTAACGGCAGGTAGTGTTGCGTAATATTTGAGGCAGTATGAATCGGAGCAATTAGGAATTTGTTGCATAGGATTTGAGGCAATATGAGTCTAAGTGACTAAGCGTTGGTTGAGCAAATATTCGATTATTCATTGTTCTGTTAAGTACCTTGGGCACCTTTATTATACCCCTTGTTTGCATTCTCACCCTATTCGATAGAGGGTCATGGTTGATACCGGACTAGTGTAAGGGACCAGGACCAGTTATGGTTGGGGCCTGGTGAGCACGGATGGAACGTGTCGTTAGAGGTTTAGAATCGACAGTGGTTGTTTCAGGGCACCTAGATTAGGCACGGTCAAGGCGAGTTGACCGTGCTATCCGTGTTTTATGTTGCAGCACTAGATCGCTGGGCGTTTATGGGCGATACGAGTCTGGTTAATTAGGATTTGAAGTAGAGGTTGTCGAATTATTCATTGTGTTGTTTCATAGTTTAATTTTGTTACCCTTTATTATCACGCTCGTTTCCATTGTCCAAACCCTTAATTAAATGCAAATAAACTTCGAACCGAGAAGCAAGTGTCGACTGCTTCCTATCAAATCTGGAGTCTGGGCCCATTACATACACTGAGATTATTAATCGTGGAGTGGCCACCTGTTTTTGTCTTTTTTTCCTCTCGCTATCCCTCTTTTCCCCAATCATACAAAAACTAAGAAGACATAAAGAGACAAAAACTCAGGTGTGAGGTCACCTCACAGTCACACCTGAGGTGTCCCCCCCCCCCCCCCCCACAGCGATATTCCAATAGATGTTTTTACTTACGTTGGCGATGTTGAGCAGCGTGCTCCTATCCCCCCTCTTCACATCAATCCTAATACCCCCACTTTCAGACTTAGTAAGGGGCGCTGAGGAGGCGTCTTTAGCCGGCTCCATGTCCAAATAATGGTCGTTAAACAGGTCTATCTTTAATGTTCCACTAGCGGGGGGCGAGGTGGTTCCGAGTAGATTAGCAAGCAGGGAGAGTTCCCCTTTACCTTCCACTCCTTCCTGAGGGAAAATGGTAATTAAAGGAACAGTTCGCCTTTACACTTACAGGCTTCCACCTCATCCATAGGGAAGATGTAAATGCCTTTTACTTATCACAGTAAACAGTTTTTACCCCCTTGCAGAGAAAATGGGAGTCAAAGGGATAGGTCTTCTGTTGTGATGCTTATTAATATTATGACTGATGAATTACTAGCTAAACGGTCGGGTGAATATGCGCTTGAACCGTTTCTGTGTCATGTGGTGATATGATTTGGTCCCGGGAGGACACAATAATCCGCATTGATCCGACCAGTTGCAGTGATATGACAATAATCGACAAGTGTTCCAATTGTAATATTATGTACTATTTATATTAATACACTCTACACTGCTACATGTAAAGTGTAGACATGTATTGACGATACAGTAAGACTGTATGAGGTTAAAGGTAGTAGTACTACTATAGTAGGCTAAAGAAGGAACCGGATGATATTGCGAATCTAAACTGAAATATAGAGCAGGAACCTATAATAAGCGAACAATGAGGAAGTGCTAACACAGTTCTTGAGGAATGTTGGCGCTGAGTAGAGATTCGTGGTATGATAGTCCGGTCGCTGGGTTGTAAAGTATAATTCTTCCATCTGCCATCTGTCTCACATTTTCCGCAAATAATTTATTTCCAAAAATAGTTTATCGAGTTTTTAAGGCGGTGAAATATTTTAAAGTTTCTTAAATTTTGGCGGATTAAGTTTAGCTATTCTACAATGATATAAATTTAGGAATTTATCAAGCTCCCAAAAGCTGTACTTGAAATAAACTTTGGGGTTAGTCCACCTTCTTCAGGAGTAATGGTTTACTTTTGTTTAATTACTTTTACATGAATATCAGGCGAACGAAATGAACAAGGATACGGCTCAGACTCATGCACCTATAGATGAACATGCAGTGTATCTGTATTTTAAAGGAATCTTCTTTGAACTAGCTCCAGTAACCATTCCTTTGTAAGTCCTGGTGCTAAACACGGTTCTCTTTGTAGACTACTACAAAGATAGGTCTAAGTTGGTACCTACCTATTTCATGGGGATAGCTCTGGCGGATATTCTCAAAGCTCAAGGAGAGATAGTTCTGGCAGTTACCAGAATTCTGGCTTACACTGGTGTGTGCGATGTGGAGGTACTGTTCAGGAGCTTGTTTTACTACATGGCCACTGCACTTCCAGGTATCAACTGTTCCAAAGTTTTTAATCTAGCTCTGACTTTAACTTTTACAGTAAACGTTGTCAATCCCTTCCGAAGAATGAACAGTAATTGGATCAAGAAGACGGTGTTTGTCATTTGTATGGTTGTCACCTGTCTTCACTTTCTCGACACAATCATTGCTATCGTAGGCATATGGTGGCTCTTTAGTCAGGGTGTAACTTTTACTATGCGCGAAACTACTTTTTTGGATATAATCCTGCACTCCTACTTGGATTTGAAATTTTGGCAGCTGTTTTGTACATCGTGGTCCCCCACTCATTGTATTGGTCTGTATGCTGATACAGATCAAGTATCTAAGACGAACACTGCAAGAAAGTGAGGTCAGCCCACTTCTCCCAAACACTGCTCGTAACGTGACCATCACTGTTCTCATGGTCTCTCTTCTCTTCTTCATCTGCAGCACGGCTTACTTCATCTTGATAGTATGCCTGATTATGAACCGTAATTCTGTGTTTTATAACAAACAGGATCATCCGGACGAGTATTACGTTTATACTGGGATGTTGCAGGGATTCTTGGAGTTTACCCTCCCTCTTATTTACGCTGCCATCTACCCGGTTATACTGGTTTGGAGAAAGCCAGCTTTGAGGGAGAGATACCAAAGAATACTGCCTTGCTGTTTCCTTGATGCCAACCCAACTCCAAATCACGTCATCGATGAATAGTGACTTCATAAACTCCAAGACTGATCGAAAGAAACATTTGGGATTTCTGTGTTTCTTTGAGTTTGAGTGTGATGACTGTTGTTTTTACATAATGGTTGTTGTTTTGTGATTTTTAGATGTTTTGAGCTAAAGTATAATTTAAAAACTTCAGCTTTAAGACATGTCAGTCGAGCGTCAAGGTTGTAATTAATAAAAAAAGTTAACATTTTCCATCGCAATTACTTATTACTTATTATAGTAGTAGTAGTAGTAAATCTTTCAAAGTACGAAATATCTCTTTAAAAGAGCATCCTAGGCACCTTATAGATATCAAAACGCATAAAAAAGAAAACAAAAACATCAACCATCTTCTAACTTCTTCCACTCCTCCCTATCTAAAGCTAAAAATCTAAGGTCTTCGAAATCAGTCAAATTCTTAAGTCTAATATCAAGATTTCTACTAGTCAAGTCTTTTCTAATAACATCTAATAAGTTTAAACATGGTCTACCCCGTCTCCCTTCCATAAAAATATCAGAATTTATAGCAAATAACATAGAGGTGTATGCTGGTGAGTCTTCCTGTCCTCTTAAGATATGTCCTAACATTCTCCATCGAAACTTAGAGACTCTCACAGACAAGGGAGTGACATAACAACGAGCATAGAGTGCCTCATTAGAAATAACCCCAGTAGGCCATCTGATGTTGAGGATTCTTCGGAGGTGTTTGCGATGAGCAATATCAAGTTCATTCAACGAAGCTAGTGGTGCAGCCCAGGAGTTGCAGTTGTAGAGTAGAATAGAGACTACTTGTGCCTCGTAGATTTTGATCTTCCTTTGGACTGAAATCTTGCTCTTCATCCAAACTTTCTGAAATTTACTAAAGGCAACATTACCAAGGAATATTCGATTCTTGATATCCTTAACAGTGCACATCAACGATCCTAAAGTTTTGTTAGAGCGCCACTCTTCATCACCCCTATACACTTTTCCAACAATCACCTTGCGTTTAACAGTGGGTTTAGGATCTGCTAAATAAAAATGGACAAATTCAGTCTTGGAAGAATTGATATGAAGGTCCCACTGCTGGAATATATCTTTAGCGATAGGAAGCATTTCTTTGAGTGGAGCAAGTTCAGTGTTATTAAAGTCAATATCATCAGAGTATCCTGTTTCGAGTGGCATGAATTCTTCTGAGATAGGAGGATTAGGGATTGGATGATTCACTGGGTAAGGTGTTGATGATACTTGGGAGAGTACAGATCTGAGGTGAATAAGTGCAGCGGCTTCAACAACAGTAAATAGATTACCTGATAGTGCATCTCCTTGAAATGCTCCAGTTGTGCTTTGGAACTCAATTGATACAGTATTATTGACTTTTACTTTCAACACTGTGTTTGATAGTAGGAGCCGTACCATCCTAATTTCATCACTAGTACAGCCAGCATCTTCAAGAACATTGAGTACTGTTTCTCTGCTGATGGTGTCAAAGGCACTTGACATGTCTATACTCATTCTGTGGTAGCTCCAATGCTTTCTAAGTACCACTGAGGTTAGCATACGTTGAGGCCAAATTATATCGCCACAACTTCTACCTCTCTTGTAAGCACTTTGTGTAGGACCGGTGTACTGATCTAGCTTGCCTTGGATACGTTTTAGGGTAATCATTGACAGTAATTTTCTGGAGCAGTTTGAGAGGGTGAGAGGTCTGATGTTTGCTGCTGGACCAAGTGGTTTCTTAGGCTTTTGGAGTGGAGTAATGTTGCCTTTTCCAATAGATGTTATGGTGGTGTTTGTTTCAAATGCGGTATTTATACAGTCTGCATATTTCTGAAATACACTTCTGTTTGCATACTTAATCAATTCACTTGGGATATCATCAGGCCCAGTGGCTCTACCATTCTTCAAAGCTTTAGCAGCTATCTCAACTTCAATAGCAGTAATAGGGTCAGCGAGAGGACTAGGTTGATCAAAGAAAGTGTCAATAGGCTCAACTGTATGTTTTGCAGTGAACTTCTCTTCAAAGTGGTTCTTTAGTGTAGCAGCTTATTACTTATTAATTTTATTACTCATTACTTATTACTTATTACTATTATATTACTTATTACTTTGAATTTCTGTAGTTATATAGTGTAATTATATAGTGCAGACCGAACTTTCACAGTGTTGTGTTGCTCAATATTCTCATCCCTATATTATGAGTCCGATAATGTGATTAGTGATTTAATTGTTTTTGTTATTGAGAACTTATCTTATTGAGTCGATAAGGCAATGAATATTACGGCATTTAATTGGCGGACTTGACTCCACAGTCCACCACGGACTGATCTGCTTGAATCTGTACAGACTTTAAGCGGGTCCAACGAGAGTTTACACAAGTCTTGGAGAAATTCGATAGTTTCTAAGTCTATGTCTATACGGAAAATGGCAAATAAATGACAGCTGTATTTTGGTGGGGAATATCTAGTTAATCGCCAATCATCATACTGCAGCTATAGTCAGGAGTTCAAGCTCACAATCCCTCACTTGTACATTGTACGGTATAAGTTATCACGACAGCAAGCCTTTACAATCAACATATTATAGACAGTGTAAGTTGTTACAATTACAAACCTTACTATCAACAGGGGGTACTATCTCAGCTTTGTCATTCTGCTGTTTATTATTAGAACTGGAAGTGCTGGTTGAGTAGATATTGAGTCCCAGTTTAGTTGCCCTGATTCCTGCTACCTCTAACGAGGGTATCTTGTTGAAAGACTGGTACGTTCCCAAACATTTGAAGTTAACTGTACTCGCGGGGTCCCTGTGTATTCTAATTGCTCCTGGTACCTGAAAGATAGAGATGAGTTACTTGGTGGGGCTTGTATGATGCATACCGGATCGGTAGCCAAGTAATGAATGTCATCCAATAATTTAGGGATACATTATAAATAAAGGACGGAACTCTGGAGGAAATATATAAGATTTTGTGTACCTCGATACCCAGTGGTACGGTCCCAACAAGAGGCAGCACAAATCGTCCTTTATCGTTCTGTAGGCCATCTTTAAGAAATATAGACACTCTCACATGTTGATCCTGTACAATAAGTTATAAAATTAAAAAAACATGGCACTTAAAACATTCGTGATAAACAGCAGCCCAGATTATAGTTATACTTAACTGGTAATTGGTAATATTATGTATCATAAATGGAGGAGATTCTTTCCGTGAACCACCAGAAAAGAAACATTACAACACACCTGGAAATAAGATAGAAGAGTTGCTCTGAGGAGTTGGAACTGTCCGGGTGTGAGTTGTGAGTACTGAGCAACAAACTGTTTGAACAGGGCCACCGTTCTGGCGTTCAGTTCTGGGTCGTTTGCGGAGTACTTTATCAGGGCGTCCAAGTGGTTAAATGTCGCAAACAATATCTCTTGTGGTCTTTGGCACAATGATACCTGTATATTCAAATTTTGTTATCCAAATTATATAAATTAATATTTAATCTGCAATATATAGTATAATAGAACATTATTATTGCGTAAAAGTATGATATTCTTTTGCGCGGCGCGCAGTAGCATTATACTGGTTGTGAGCGCTGAAAACTTTTATCACAAATTCGACATCGCGCGCTCCTAAAAATGTCAGTAGAAAATTGCCAATTTTAAGTGATACTGCGTCTGAATTGTTACCATATGCTGGCTAAACGTTCTGATGTACCATATGCTTTGAGCTGCTTGAAAAGGGACATTCATAGGATCATCTCTCAGGAATTATTACTTATATTATTTTGTTTGGCAACAATCGTGGTCACACTCTGGAGTCCAACCTGGAGCAGAAATAAAGTATTCTGAAAGCACTAGGTTATTTAAACAAGTACCTGGTATTTGACAGCCATGGTCATGAGGTCGAATAGCTTGTCCATACTGTTGGCGTTAAGCCGCATTATTGAGGAGTGTGCTAATCTGTCGAATACTGCTCGCATTGCTCTTCGGCTGTATATCACCTGATATTGAATTATTACTTTTTAAGTTATTGAGTTATTAAGTTATTGAGTTATTAAGTTATTAAGTTATCGATTTTTTAAGTTATCGATTTTTTTAGTTTTTGAGTCGGATTCAGAAGTAAGTAAATGATGACTGCAGTGGAACGACAGTGTTCGGGCTTCGGACCCAAACCCTAGACAACTTCAGAAGTATTGATTACTAAACTGGTGAACCAAGCTGATAAGTGATAACTGATAACCTTGCAGTACTGTTAGTTAACAACAGTTAAATGTGTAACATATTACTCATTATTTTAGCAAGTATATTACCTGATGTTTAAAGAGTTCCTCAACAAAAGAACTAGCGATCATGGTCCTTATAATGTCGTTGATTACTTTCGAGCATTTCTCACTGGAAATCTTCTGAGCTTGTAATCTCTGGTCTAGAATGTACAACATCTCTCCCCCCAAGTTGAAAAACAGCACTGGCATTGTTTTTAGTGACATGACGGACTTTTAGCTGAGAAATATACTTGATTGTCATTATTATGTATCGTTTCATATGCTTCATTATGATATCACAAACAAGCCACAAGACAGTCCGACAATCCATGTTTAAAACACCGTAAATCCAAATTTAGCTCAAAAGCAGAAGTTTTAAAGTAAGACACGTTAGCAAGGATGGATTTAAAAAGTCTAAACGAAAAAACAGCATGAAGAACTCGATTGATGTAACCGTATAACAAATTACAAAACCCTGGTTAATTAAGATGCTATAATTAGAATCAACAGTCATTGCCATATAATACACAATTTAAAAGTCTCATTACCCTCAACTGATTATGGTACGACTAGTAACTACTCTCGTCTAGTACGACTAACAGCACTGTACACAACGTTATTAATATGTACTACTGAGAAGAATCAAGCTGTTCGTCTTATTAGAGTATATTAGAGGGGGTAAAACGGTTATGGGTTTAATTAATTTACATACTGACGGAAAAATATGTTTTATTTATCAGAGTTGGAATTTTAGCATAATCGATTAATTTGCCTAAAAACTAACAAAAAAAACTAAAATTATCTTTCTAGGATTTGATTGGTTTATTTCAAATTAACTTCACAACTAAACTAAAAATGAAAATGTCCTAACAGTTCCTGATAGTAATAATATAACATTCGCAAAACCTTCTCACCTATCATTGTAGAAAGTGACCACACCACCAGTGCTGCCAACAGCAAGTTGTGGATACTTAGGACTGAACACGGTCGTTAAAACATTGTCAGTCTGTACCTTACTCACCGCCCCGCCCCCCCTGATATCAAACAAATGAACTGCGTGGTCATCCCCAGGTATGGCCAGGTACCTGACACAGGCGGATATACTGGGGACACTGGCAACTCTGTTAGGTTTACTGAAGCAATTAACACACTGTCCAGTCCTAACGTCCCACAGTTTAACATCGTCCTGTACACTGCAACTCATGATCAGATTGTGAGTCTCAGAGCTGTGGGGCACGTACTTAGAACCGTCCACTGTCATCACGTGGTGAGGTGCGCGAGAGTGCGCATCTGGGATCCTCATTGCTTCAACCTCTTGGTTGTAGTCGTAGATAGAGATAGATTTGTCACTGAGCCCGCAGACCACAAGGGTAGAGTAGAAGGAGTTACAGCAGCTCAGAGCGGTGATAGTGTGGGACAGTGCGCTGGTGCAAATGTTCTGATAACGACCCAGTACTCTCTTAGAGTTCTTGGGTTTCTCAACATGGTGTTTGTACAGCAGCAACTCGTTTGAGTGTGCTAACAGTATAAACTTGTCAATGTAGTAAAAGTGCCCACCCACTGTGTCCTTTTTAAATTCTATTTTCTCGCAGTTTTTAGTGTTCCCATCTCTGTACTTCACATCAATGATCATGTACCCGCTGGTAACATCCCACACTTTGCACGACCTGTCAGCAGCAGTGGTAATCACCTGACTTGCGAGAGTACTCCACTTTACTGATGTGAGAGGTCCCTTATGTCCCACCAAGGGGACTGACTTGCTACCCGAGGGTAAACGTAACACAACTCCACTGTAGTCCGCCAGTCCCACTGCTATCATATCTGATTCACGGGAGTAGGCGAGTGCTTGCACAGGAGAGAGTCGGTCTGAAACTGATAACTTGTTTTTCTCAAACTTGGGTCTACACTCACTGCTTGGGTACACATAGGGGTCTTTCTTTGGGGCCTTCTTCACTTCGGTTTTCTTGGTTTTAGAATTGGTAACAGGTTTGAACATTTGCTGACGTGGTTTAGCTGTGTAACCGGAGGATTTTGCTTTTGATTTTTTCTTCTCTGTTCCTTTGATAACAGGGGCAGTTTCAACAGGCTTCTTCCATTGGGAAAGATTTAGTAAGGGAGTTGTGGTAGTCAACAGACATTTCTGTACCATTGAAACATTACTCTCCTGATTGGAGGACAACTTCCTTAGCTCTAGAACTGTCAGCTCGGTGTTGAACAAGTCAGCATATGCTAGAATAGGATTGGAAGCGAGCAGAAAACATTGTACCGAGTAAGCGAATGGGAGGGAGGGTGCGTTGTGCAGGAAGGAAATAGAGGTTAAAAGTTGTAAAGACAGGCTGTTTAGCTGAACAATTCCACTTGTCAAAACGATGATTAAAACGTTTTCAATGTTCATCTCCAGAACAGGAGCATCAGTCCCAAACGTGGAAATACATTCCGTCATGGTCTGATCACTTTTGTTAACCACTTTAAAGATAGCCAGAACAGAGTTGTTAACAACACTACCATCGGCTGGTGAATAAGACTCGTTCTGTGTGAGGAACTTACTCTGAGGTTGAGCATATATAACATTGTCATCTCCTTCCGGCGATGGTGATGTGTCTAAATTTGGGAGATAATTCTCCACGTTGATCCGTTTAAGACGTGTCCCACTGTTTGGCTCATAAACATGTAGCATACCATCTGCTGAGCCAAGGTAGAGGGTGTCAATATCAAAATAGGCAGAAGTGAAGGGAGCTGAGGAGAGTAGCTGGAATTGGGTTATTGCTCGCTTCTCCAACAGACACCACACTTTGAGGCAATTGTCGCTGGATAAGGTAATGATGCGAGTTGAGTTGACCATGTGACAGTACACAACATCTGCTGCATGGCCCTCGAGAAACCGTGTGGTTCCTGCAGCTGTATCCAATATCATGATATCACACTTCACTGCTAAGATGATAATGTTGGTGATTGTAGCAATGAAAGCAGCTGATCCCAATCCCACTCCCACATAAACTGGAAGGGGTTTCTTGCCAGCGTTTATAGCAGCCCTAGCTTCAGAAAGATTCCACGAGAGGAGCGAGTCAGATGATGTCGAGAGCAAGATATTTGAAGCTGAAAAGTGCAACTGGGTTATTGTATGTGTATGTCCGATCAGTTGTAGCTCCCTTTTTGTAACGTCTAAACACTGCACAGAAATTGTTGATCCATCTGCAATAGCAACATACTCTGAGCTTACGCTGATGATATTCTGGTCACTTCCTGATTCTGACAATGATTTTCTTTCCAGTTGTTTTATGTCCATCTTCCTGAAAGTAGAGATGTTAATAAACTTGTTTATTATTGAAAATACTGATCATAAATAAATAAATCCAGCCAAATCAGGTCCCAACTAGGAATCTAACAAGGCCTCTTGTATAACCTGCATGCTTTTTATTGTGCTGAGCTATTCGGACACTATTACCATTTATGAAACAAATTAAACTTAACATATTTAATATGAATTAAATGATGTTGCTACTGATAACTTCAATCTCAATAATAAAACCGAAAGTCGTGCAGAGCCAAACCTATTAATAGTCCTACCGGTAGGACATATTCAAAATTTTCATTGCATCAAAGTTTTCTCCAGATATACAGCTTCCAGTACCTTGATGGTGACTTATGTCACTACGCGGTGTGGGGTGGGTGGCTCGAACGGGAGGTGCATGGGTGTTTCTAACCTATGCAAAGGAAGGGACTAGCCATCTCTACAACAAGGAAAGGCTCTAATAGCCTCTACTAACCTTAGAACGGCAGCATAACCGCTTTTCCCACAGGCAAATAACATCTTCCGCAGGAAACTAACACGCTCACAGGCTCCCACATGACGTGTAACCCCAGGATTTGGTTTTGAATCGGACACTTAAAACAACGATAGAGGAGCGGTCTACACGCTCCCAGGCTACCATGTCTCGTGTAACACCAGGATTTGACACGTTCACAGGCTACCATGTGTCGTGTAACCCCAGGATTTAGCACCGTCTCGTGTTACCCTAGGACTCACTTAACAGACTCTAACACGCTCACAGGCTTCCACGTCTCGTACCCTAAGATTTGGTTTTGGATCGGACACTCAAAACAACGATAGAGGAGCGGTCTACACGCTCACAGGCTACCATGTCTCGTGTAACCCCAGGATTTTACACGTTCACAGGCTACCACGCCTCGTGTATCATAGGATTTGGTTTTGGATCGGACACTCAAAACAACGATAGAGGAGCGGTCTACACGCTCATAGACTACCACGTCTCGTGTAACCCCAGGATTTAACACGCTCACAGGCTACCAAGTCTCATGTAACCTTAGGATTTAACACGCACACAGACTACCACGTCTCGTGTAACCCTAGGACTCTAACACTTAACAGACTCTAACACGCTCACAGGCTTCCACGTCTCGTGTACCCTAGGATTTGGTTTTGGATCGGACACTCAAAACAACGATAGAGGAGCGGACTACACGCTCACAGGCTACCATGTCTCGTGTAACCCCAGGATTTTACACGTTCAAAGGCAACCACGCCTCGTGTATCCTAGGATTTGGTTTTGGATCGGACACTCAAAACAACGATAGAGGAGTGGTCTACACGCTCATAGACTACCACGTCTCGTGTAACCCCAGGATTTAACACACTCACAGGCTACCAAGTCTCATGTAACCTTAGGATTTAACACGCTCACAGACTACCACGTCTCGTGTAACCCTAGGACTCTAACACTTAACAGACTCTAACACGCTCACAGGCTTCCACGTCTCTTGTACCCTAGGATTTGGTTTTGGATCAGACACTCAAAACAACGATAGAGGAGCGGACTACACGCTCACAGGCTACCATGTCTCGTGTAACCCCAGGATTTTACACGTTCAAAGGCTACCACGCCTCGTGTATCCTAGGATTTGGTTTTGGATCGGACACTCAAAACAACGATAGAGGAGTGGTCTACACGCTCACAGGCTACAATGTCTCGTGTAACCCTAGGATTTAACACGCTCACAGTTAGTTAGTAGTTAGTAGGAGACGGGAGCTTTCTAAGCTTTCCGTAGTGCCCCCAACCTGCTTTCAGATATGGGGGTCATATATGCCTTCAGTTTCCACCCGGTGAACCTGGTCGGCGAGCCCCCAGGTTTCAACTGCGCATGACAATATAGCCGTTCGGGTAATAAATCCCGGGTTGGCTTCTCGTGTATTCAGTAGTGTGGCCGACCCCACTACTCTGCTGCGCGTTGCCGTGTTGGGGTGCTATCCCGGCGCGCGCGCCGGAGCTAGCCCCTCTCCCCCGGCCTCCGCGCACTTCGGCTATTTCGCTATATCAGAATTGAAATCTGCGTTCGTTTTGCGTACTGTATGTTTGGTAGGATAATTATTTGTAGAAAATCAGAGTTGCCATGCCGCTCGCCCGAGCGTTCGGAGTTTTAGGAGCCAGTCCAGACACTTGCCTGGATTGCATCGCAATAGCTCCGTATTGACTCCTTACGCCCGAGTAAGTTGTTATATACTCTGTAAGTTTCACGTTAGCGTCTGAGGTACCAGTCCAGACTATGTGTCTGGTTCGCATCGCGAAGGTCCTATAGTGACGCTTTGCGCTTAACTCAAGAGATGTGAGTACGATGAGATTGTAATTTTATTGTATGACTGTATCTTGGAGAGATGGGTGATCAGGATTAGAAAATATATCGTTTCCAGTACCGAGAGGTTGGAACTAAGGGAGCCAGCCTGGACTCTTGTCCAGATTGCATCGCAATAGCCCCTTGTCGACCCTCGCTCTCGTTCCTGGTAACGGTGTGTGGTTACTATGGTAACAGTGTGTAGTTGCTATGGTAACAGTGTGTAGTTGCTATGGCGAGTTGCTATGGTAACAGTGTGTAGTAGCCATGGTAGCAGTGTATAGTTACTATGGTAACAGTGTGTAGTTGCTATGGTATCAGTGTGTAGTTGTTATGGTAACAGTGTGTAGTTGCTATGGTCAAGTTCGGAGACAACCTGTACATTTTTTACTTTTTTAGAAGTGTGTGGTGGAGCCAGCTCAACACAGAATGAAACTCCCTGATTATATGGCTGACAAGACATTTTTCAGGACTTTCTCTGAGTAAAAAAAAAATTTAAAAGGTTGAACGGTTGAGCAGATAAAGGTGGTATTAAACAAACCCTTAAAAGGTGGAGATTTAAGGTGGAGACTGGCTCTGGTTGAAGAAACTTTTGATTAAGGTGGAAAAGGTTATTGGTAACACAAACTACATCAAATTTGCAATCTGATGGTTTTATCAATATTTTATTTAAGTGCTCAACCGAGGTGGAGAAATCAAATGCACTTTTCAAAGCTGCTCAACCGGGGGTGGAGAAAGGTTTAGAGAGTTCTAGGTTAGCTAGAAAGTTGCGTCTCGGCCTTTTCTACTTCCTGTTAAATTTTGTTTTTTCCATTGACGCTCAACAGGGTGGAGATCTTTCATTAAGAAACAGTAAAAAGCCTGTCAAACATGCCTAAATTCATTGGTTTTATCACTAATTCTAATCTGCTCTGTTAACTGCTACTGTAGGGGATCATAAAACTGTTATCCCATCTGTCTTAAAGCAAAGTGTTCTAGCAAATGAAAAAACTATCAAAGTTGTGAAAAAGTGCTCAACAAGGTGGAGAAATTGTTGATTAAACATTAAAACATTAAAACATTAAAAAATGCATTAAAACTGGCCCCACCGGGTTGAGTTCAATGAAACGAAAAGTTTTCAATGAAACGAAAAGTTTTATTTTACATTCCTTTAATCATAAATAAAATAAGAGCTTAAACCACGAATTAGTTAGCTAGAAGTAAACTTGAGGAAATATTTTTGGTGATTGTATATAATTATTTAAAAAACTTTATTTGGTTGTTAGTATTTTAATTATGGTAAGTGGTTGAATTTAGTGAGACAAGGTCAGTTTCTCTATTATCTTAGAAAAATTTCTACTTTACAGTAGGCAATGCTGAGTGGCAGGAATGAGGGACCAAAACGCTTGGGGCTAACAATGGCCCATTTACAAACCACTTCAGACATGGCAATGATGTCATTTATGCTTAATTCGTCTGAAACTGACCCTACTGCACTTGTAACATTCTATAAAAATCTCTTCTAAAATAGGTATAAAAATGCATAACACAAAACACACAAACAAAATGTTTATAATCCTTATATAATAAATTTCTATAGAACTTTTAAATTTCTATAAAACTAATAAACCTATATATATATTCATTTTGCACCCAGAGAAAGATGTGATCACAGAGGTAGTTTCGATATTATGTTCATGACAAGGTATGGGGCTGCTGCAAGTTATATTTTGCTAAGATATTACCGCTTTTTCAAGCTTAAGTAATCTAGGCAAGGTCAATTTTAAAGTTTTTGAATTTTGTCGAACGCTGTTTAAAGCTAAGTTCCAGTCATTTGGTTCTCCTTCCTTTTGAGTGTGAGTGATGGTGATTCTTATGGATGATTTGAGGTGATTGGGCTTATAACAGGTGAATGTAGTTAGCATGAGATTTTGTCGTACTGTATTCCATATTGTCCCTGCTCTGTATATGTAGCTGTCTGATGGTTTAGGTGTGAGAATGAGGGTCTCTTTGCCAAGTCTGCCAGATGTTTCAAAGAGGGAGTATAGTGATATAGGGGTTCTATATTTCAAGACCTTGAAGATGTCATTAATACAATGGTAGAAGTACAGATTATGCACATTCATGATTTCATGAGTGTTGAAGAGGGGTTTTGTATGCTCCTTTCTGTAGAATTCCTTGCCCAGGATTTGCTCCCCGTAGGGTCTGCATCGTGCACTAGTTTTAAATTTATCCAAGTATGCTTCTTTATCTCCAAACATTATGCGGGCACACATTTTCTGTGCTTTGAACAGAGGTTCAAGTTTTTTGTTAGATGCCCCTCCCCAGACAGTTATACCATATGCAAGATAGCTTTCAAACAGAGTGTGATATAGATCTTTATGGATTGATGTGGGAATGTTATCTTTAATTCTATTTAGCATGCCACAGCAGCTGGCTAGTTTTTTTGCTAATTTCCTTCTATGTGCGTTCCAGTTTAGGTCTTCATCGATTGTTACACCTAAGAATTTAGTTTCATGTACTCTCTCCAAGGGTATGCCATTGATATTGATTTCTTGATCAGAGGGTGTATCTTCATCTTTGTTGGATCGAGAGTTTGAGAATTCAAGGTAACAGCTCTTGCCAGTGTTTATGTGAAGTTTATTGGCAAGCATGTAGCGGTGTACGGAATTTAGGACT